TTGCCTCATGAGGACCAGTTGAACAGCAGAGGAAGAAAGAAGAATAAATTATTCAATGGAAAAATCAAATGCCCAGAACCACCCCATAGGTTACTGACAAGGAACAATTCCCGTTCCGTAATGGCTCAGATCTCCTCTGGAGCAGGATAAGGACGTCAGGGATCCATTGACCAGAGGGATGAAAGCACAGCCACCAGCTAGAGCTTGGAGGGCAGGGGGAGCCCTGCCATTTTAACACAACAGATCCTGCTGGCCCCTCATCTCCGTTCCGGTTTTCTGGTTGTTTAGTGCCTTCATCATTCCGATGCAGAGGCACGGAAGCAGACCAACACCAGCCCTCCTCCTGCCAGACTCAGGACCTGCCCTCGGTCTTCTCCAGTATGTTGTATTTCTAAGGTGCATGTTCCAGTATCTAGGAATTCTGTTTTCACACTCTGAGGGGTGTGAATCTGTCAACCAGAACAGCCCTTCATGAGTTGTAAAGTGGTGCCATGATTCAGGAACTAATTAACAGCTATTAGATAATGCAATTAGCGCCACAAACTGCCGCCCTACCCTAAGTATACCTTCCCTTTGTGAGCGTGAGCCATAAATGTCTAGCATCTTCTGTTCCCTCTTTTTTTATCTCTCCTCTCCTCCTTGTGGTGGGTGGCTGCACAAACTGCCCAGCCCCACATCACATCAGCCGTTTGACCTGACAGGATTAATCCCATTAAGACTTTTACCCTCTCTGCACTTTTAGGAAGGCCAAGGCAAGCTAGGGGCTGCCAGTGGGGCTGGGCTGGCTCTTTCCAAATGTGACACCAAAGGTGATGTGCCCAGGCCCAGATTTTGGCATGCAGACAGAGCAGGGGGTGATGTGTGCCTTCTCCTGGAATGTGCCTTTGGTAGAGGGGCCACCTTCCCTTCCTCCTGGAGACAGTCAGCTCCCAGAGCGCCACAGGATCCATCCAGCCAGGAGCTGACAGCCACATCCCCTCCATCCTGTCCCTGGGCTCGAGGTCACTTTCAGTTTTGCTGTTGCTCCAAACCCGTGCAGGGCTAAAGCCCATTTCCTCCGGGAGCAGCTCACGCTCAGAGGTGTCTGCTGAAGCACGGCTTTCTCTGATTGCTCTCCTTCCCCTGTAAACATTTTCCCCCCCAGACCGGTGTGTGAGCGTGGGGCTTGTTTTATGATGGGGTTCCTTGCAGAGCTCTGCTCATGTGGACCAGACGTGGCTGTGCCCCCCACTTACACCTGCTCCCTGAGGATCCCCAGCCCTGAGGATGATGCTGGGATGAGGGCAGTGTCAAACCAGGAAAGGAGATGGCTGTTGGTGACAGGTGGGACAGGGGCTGTGGAGCAGAGGGAGGCTGTGCAGCACAGAGAAGAGGCAGGGAGCACTGGGGCAGTAGGGCTGCTTGCTCCAGGAGCTCATCCCACAGCTTGAGGTGCCACCATCACACGGGTGTGTGTAAATACCAGCCTCTCCCGCTGCCTCTGCTGTGCCGGTGCCGAGGGTGGCCAGCTCCGTGCACTCGAGGAGCAGCAGGGGCGGGAGGGAACCAAACCCTCCGTCCCACGTAAGCTGAGAGCTCAGCAGGTGCTCAGTCACGAACTGCAGCTGATGGAGCACCAGCCTCCAGCTACTGCAGATTCTTGGGTACAGGGAGGTCACCAGCAGTCCGTGACAGGGCTTTCTCCTCTCCTGCCTGGCAAGCGGCTGTGAGGCAGTTTGTAGGAGCTGACAGGCTGGGAAGGCTTGCTGGAGAGCACATGGGCTGCAGCAAGGAAATAGCAGGAATTTTCTGCTGTGGTCTCGGGTGTCACCCTGTGACAGAGCTTTGCTCTTGCTCTGGCGTTGAATCCTCACACAGGAGGGGTCACACCCACGACTGCAGGCAGCAGTGAAGACCCAGCTGTGCCCACTGCCTGCAGTAGTTGGACCCCCCCCAAATTACAATTTTCTCTGCCTGGATCTGTGGCTGTGTGGGAAGGGAGAGGGATTTCCCTTGATGACACGATTGGTGACCACTGTAGCAGTCACGGAAACTCTTGGACCAGAGGATGCTATCAGTAAAGAGTTGGAGTCTCCCAACGGCTTCAATGGAGAGGAGAAAAACAGCTGTAAATCACTGCCAAAAGTCTGAGGGAGTTTGCTGTAGCTGGCTGGTGCAAGCAGGCATGGGAGAGCACCCACTGAGCACTTCGGATGTTGTGTGCAGGCTGAAAAGTCAATTGGTGTCACAGGTAGGGGTCTCAGCCCCAGGAGCCCTTCTGAAGTCAAGGCTCCTCCCTGACTGGTGTTATCATGAAAGTAGGGTGCAAAAGGGAATGGAGACAGAGAGGGTGATGTAGGAAGGGGGCTGTGAGAGGAGGGAGAGAAGAAATGCACTCCTGGAGGTGCAGGGAGCAAGCACTGGGCACTGGGGGACAGAGGGAAGGCATTTAGTGGAGAGAGACCAAGTCCTGGAGACGTCCCTTGGTGTCGGGTGTCTTAGTGTCAGAGCAGTGGGAACAGCGATGTGGCTGGCATGAGGGTGGAGATGGTGTGACACTGGTGAGCTTGTTGCAGCTCCACAGCTTTCCTGTGTGCTCTCTCCATCTTTGGACACATGATGGGGATGCAGAGGTGCCTGAGGGCTGTGCCTCCACCCAGGCCCTTCTCACACAGCCTGGATGCTCTCCATCTCAAAGGCAGAGATCTATCCCTAGTGCCCATTCAGGCATGATGCATGGCTTGGTCAGCTGCACAGACCTAGCAAATTTATGGCATCCTTTGCTTTCTCCTGGCTCCAGACTGAGCTGCCTCCTCTGCTCAGGAAGGCAAAAGCAGTGCCGAGCAGTCCCAGTGAGCTCAGAGAGGGTGCTAGGGGCAGAACAGTGAGACAGGGGGATGGAGAGCAGAAGATGGGGAAAGAAGGGATGCCTGATGGATTGGGGCATGGCAGAGACTGCGGCGTACACAGCTCCCAGCTCACTCGTGTTGCTCTGTCTGTGTTGTACGTTACTTTCACACCTTTAAGCATTTTCCCTTCCTTCACACGGGGGATTGCTTTATTTTTGCTATTAGGTGAAGGCTTATTTTCACAGTGCTCGGTGTTTAAGCCCTCCCCCTGAGGCTGCAGCTGCCTCTGCCTCCTCACACCAGTTTGCAGCATGACCTCTGGGTGGCATCCAAAGGCTCGCGTGTGGGGCTGCCGCAGCCTTTCCTCCCGCTCTTGGGACACAGAACAGTTCGGGGCTGAGATGGACTTTGCTTTCTTCGGGTAGCTGAGAACACAAGCCTCTGTCAAGGCTGATAATTAATTAGACACGCTTAGAAGAGGATGCCAGTTCATGAACAAAAGTGAGAAAACTGAAACCCACATTTTAGCAGAGACGATGGAAAGGTTTCTTTTCAAGACTTTCAAATTCTTCTTGGAAGAGCTGGGTTAGATGTCTGCATGATTGCTAGCTTGTCTGATCAGTTTGATTAGCTGTTACAAGAATGACAGTTAAATCTCCCCATCTCACCAAAGTGAAGAAATTAAAACTCATTTCAATTGTACTGAAACCAACCCCCAAACTGCCATGATTATATATTTCTAAGCCATTTTATACACTTATCACCTCTTTTCACATCTCTGGCTGGGTGCCCAGGAAGGATGGCAGCAGAAACCTCTTTCTCTCTCCCTTGATGCATCCCTTGTGCTTGGAGCTGGGTGCAAATGTGGGCAGTGCTACCAGGCTTCCTTGCCCCATCCGTATCTGGCATGTAGCATCTACCAAAGGGCACTGCTTTCTTTTAAAAATCTTTTGTCTTCACAGACACACTTCGAGGATAATGGTAGAGAGGTATTTCTTTGTCCCTCACCCACTTCTTTCCCTTGCACCTGTAAGAGGAGCTCCACCACTGTTGCAGCTGTTGCCTTGCTAATGCAGAAGCTGCCTAAATGGCTACATCAGACCCTGGCTTTAGCATCTGAGCAGCCACATTTCCATTTAATTACACCTGTGTCTTTTTAGAAAATGCTTATATTAAAAACTTGGCTATTTGCTGATGGCAGACATCTCCTACCCTCACCACAAATGAAAGACAAGGGCATTTCTTTTCAAATATTTTAAATAGACAAACTGATCTCAAAGCCTGCCAGACCCTATTTGGAAGAGGTGTGTGTTAATGGCATGTTTATACATCCAGCAAAATCAGCTTCAGGAGTCATTCAGGAGGCATTTGGAGCCAGCACCCAAGCCAGAGACACACTGTGCTGAGCTCTCTCGCTGTGGGGACACTTGCTGGCTCCTGTTGGGTTCCTGACAGCAATGCCTGTGGGGCTGAACCCCTGCCCTGGCACCGGGAAGAGCTGCTGGAGGGGCTGCTCTTGATTGTCTGGCAGGGTTGGGATGCCCCAGAAGCCAGGGCAAGGCTGGTGAAGGCTCAGCGTGTTTTGGGGGCCTGGATGGTGTGGGAGAGGCAGGTTCAATGGGAAGCTCTTCTGTCCAGCCCAACTCCCTCCGTGCCTTTGCTTTTCCTTTGCTTTCCATTAAATTCCCTTTCATCTCAATACAGCACTTCTCGTCTATTGATTTATTTTTTAAGGTCCATTCTACTCTTACCTTGGGTGATTAACCACAGGCATCTTGGTTTGGATGAAGGCAGTAATTCTGTCTGTAATTCTCATCACTTTTCATAAATAATTCCATGTATCATGCTCAGGTGTCTGACTCCACACCGTACATCTCTGTGGCCTGGGTGGCTGCAGCTGCACTGTGATGGGGGCCTGGGGGAAGGGGTCATCACTTCCCAGCCTCACTGACTGATGGCACTTGTGCAGCTCCCTCCCTCTCCTGAGCCTGCTGCCCTGTGCACTGCGCCGTGCCAAATTACCCATCTTCAGCCTTTCTTGGCTTTTCAGCATCTGTATCTCAGCAGCATTGCCCTTTGGTCAGGGCCACCTCTGTTGGGCAGGCTGGTGCCCCCAGTAAGATGTTGTGGAAGTCACAAGCTGTGGTGTAACTTGCTGTTTTCCTTCTCCCAGATTTCATCTTCCAGAAGGAGCTGTTTGCTGCGAGAGACACAGGTGAGCTGAGCAGACCACGGCACGGGCTTTGTGGGTTAGGCCCCCCTTGGGGAGTGCTTTGGGGAAGTCAGTGGGACATGCCTGGGGCATACCATAAACCTGCTTGTGTCCCTGGGGCAGGGCACTGGCTCCATGCTGTGCTGTCCTGGCAGTGGGTGCTGTATGCACCCCCCCTGGGCTCTGCAGTCCTCTTTCCCCCAGCCCTTTGGCCTCCCTGTGTGCCTCTCTGGGGCACAGGAGATTGTGCTCCCACTGGGATATACAAAGAAGGGACCATCACACCCTGGACATAGGACTGTCCTAGTGCACTCCTGCTTTTCTCCCTGCAACTCGTATGTCTCCTCTACTACTAAATAGGGACATAAAAATGCCTCCAAGAGACTCCAGGAGTGGCAGAGAGAAGTCCAGGAATCCCAGAAGGTTTTTGAGCACTAGTCAACAGCAGTGCTGGCCTGGGAAACTGAGGAAATGCTGCCAGGACAAGCTGGCAGGTCTAATGTTCTCCCTTTCTGTCCTCGCTCTCCTTGCAGATCCCATGCACAACTTCTCTGCTCAGCCCTGGCAGGCAAAGATGGCCAACCTGACCTATGACAACTTCACCCTGGGCAACCACTCTGAGGTGGCCGTGCAGCCTCCCACCAACTACAAGACAGTGGAGCTGGTTTTCATTGCCACTGTCACCGGCTCGCTCAGCCTTGTCACCGTGGTGGGGAACATCCTGGTGATGCTCTCCATCAAGGTGAACCGCCAGCTCCAGACTGTCAACAACTATTTCCTCTTCAGCCTGGCCTGTGCAGACCTCATCATCGGGGTCTTCTCCATGAACCTCTACACGGTCTACATCATCAAAGGCTACTGGCCACTGGGGGCCGTGGTGTGCGACCTGTGGCTGGCTCTGGACTATGTGGTGAGCAATGCCTCTGTCATGAACCTGCTCATCATCAGCTTTGACCGGTACTTCTGTGTCACCAAGCCCCTGACGTACCCGGCCAGGAGGACCACCAAGATGGCAGGGCTAATGATCGCGGCCGCGTGGATATTGTCCTTCGTTCTCTGGGCCCCTGCCATCTTGTTCTGGCAGTTCGTTGTGGGCAAGAGGACAGTCCCCGAGAGGGAATGCTACATCCAGTTCCTCTCCAACCCAGCGGTGACATTTGGCACAGCCATTGCTGCTTTCTACCTGCCCGTGGTCATCATGACGGTGCTGTACATCCACATCTCCCTGGCCAGCAGAAGCAGGGTAAGGAGACACAAGCCTGAGAGCAGGAAAGAGAGGAAAACCAAGTCCCTCAGATTCCTCAAGGGCCCCATGGTCAAACAGAACAACAATAACTCTCCCAAGAGGGCCGTGGAGGTGAAGGAGGAGGTGAGGAATGGGAAAGTGGATGACCAGCCATCTGCACAGACAGAGGCCACTGGCCATCAGGAGGAGAAGGAGACGTCCAATGAGTCCAGCACCGTCAGCATGACCCAGACCACAAAAGACAAGCCCACAGCAGAAATCTTGCCAGCAGGGCAAGGACAGAGTCCAGCCAACCCCCGGGTGAACCCAACTTCCAAGTGGTCCAAAATTAAGATTGTCACCAAGCAGACTGGGACTGAATGTGTCACCGCCATTGAGATCGTCCCAGCTAAGTCGGGTGCCTCTAACCACAACTCCCTGGCCAACAGCCGCCCAGTCAATGTTGCCAGGAAGTTTGCCAGCATCGCCAGGAGCCAAGTCCGGAAGAAGCGCCAGATGGCTGCCCGAGAGAAGAAAGTCACCCGAACCATCTTTGCCATCCTGCTGGCCTTCATACTCACATGGACACCCTACAACGTGATGGTCCTCATTAACACCTTCTGTGAGACCTGCGTGCCCGAAACTGTGTGGTCCATCGGCTACTGGCTCTGCTATGTCAACAGCACCATCAACCCAGCCTGCTATGCCCTCTGCAATGCCACTTTCAAGAAAACCTTCAAGCACCTTCTCATGTGCCAGTACAGGAACATTGGCACAGCCAGATAAACTGGTACTCAGGGGCCACTTCAGTAACACTATGGAAACCCTTCCCTTTGCCTCCTTTGCCAGCGGGGGTTCTTCTGCTCCCCACTCACAACAGTGCAGACTGTGCAGTGATTGCAGATGATGCCCTTCATCCAGCGCTGACACAAATCCAAGGCATCTCTGAGCTGCAGGTCCTTCCAGTCACCCTGGGCCTGGGGACTAGCTCGGGGAGCCACCAGGAAAGCCAGAGGCAAGAGGAGGTGTGGTCACCAGGAGCCCTTCCCAGCTCTATGCTCTTGAGATTGGCCAAATGGCATCAGTGTTTCTCCTAAGACTGGATGTACCTTTTTCCCCAGCTGACCATCTCCAAGGCGTCAGAGCTTGTCTGCATGCAGATGGGCTAATGCTGGATGCTTTCCATTGGCTTCTGAAGTGTTTATTACCCAAGAAATGAAAAGAAACCAGGGTCAAACATTTGCTAGACATCTTGGATCAGGCTGGCTCAGGCATGCTAATGGGGAGTCCTGCTGGCCCAGCCAGGCCCCCTGTGAAGGCAGTCAAGATTGGACCCTAACAGATGTGGCAAGCTGCTTCCTTTCCCTTGAGAGTGCAATTGGACATCCTCACCCAGGGACCTGGGGCAAAATTTTTCCCTGGGCTCTGGGTCTGCTCTCCCCTTCATGCCCTTTCTGCCCTCAGACAGCAATTTGCCGGAAAGACAGACAGCTAAACCAAGCATTTCACTCCTGGGTGAGGAGTGTGAGACCCAGTCACCTCTGACAATGGAAACTAAAACTGCAAAGAAAAGCAGTGGTGTGGTGCAGGACTTTGCTCCATAGCCCTGGGGGAATGGGGCCCCTGAGAAGTGGGCAGCAGTGACTGTAAAAATAACTGTCCTTGGGAGGGACAGGGGGGACCTGAGGGTCTCAGAAGAGGGTGGGAAGAGGATCTGCAATGTGCCCAAGGTGCCCTGTGTTCCATCTGGGCCACGAGCAGATGCTCTCCCCACAGTGGTGTGGGAGGCCTGATGCGTAGCTCTGGAGGCAGGAGAGGATGATGGTGGCCTCCAGCCCCACTCCTGCCGAGTGCAGGGGGCCGAAAGAGGTTTGCTGAGCTTTGTAAATGGATGTAATGCTGTCATGGATGCTGCAGCAGAGCCCTCAGCATGCGGGCTTCAGCCAGCACTTCCAGCCTCCTCCCAGCCCTGGGTGTGCAACCCAGAGCGCCCTGGAGCTGCTCCCAAAGCCAGGTGCAAGCCTTGGTGCACACAAAGCCAGGTGCAGGCAAGGGCTGGGATGGGGCCACTCTAGCACTGGCAAACTCTGTGTCCGTATGTCCTTCCCATCCTCATGCCAGGGTGGAACCTGCAGAAAGGCTGCCCCAACCCAGATGGGAATTCCTCCACCACTGCCTTTAGGGGTGCCTAAAATGCCTGGTGGGTTTCTGGGTATTTTTAAATGGTTATAACTGCAGCCCAACACACTCCAAGACAAATAAAGACCTTGGATCAGGAAACTAATGGCCATGGTGTGAGGAATGAATGAGTCATCATTCGGGTGGCTCCTTCCCTGCTTCCCAGTGTTACCTGGGTGACATTTCCTGCAGCCCATCCTTTCTGCCAAGATTAAGGGGGGGCACAACCTGAAGCGTTGTTACAAAGAGAGTGTGAGGTCCAGCTTTGTCCAGGACCATGTGCATGTGGCACCCAGGCCAGCACTGCCAGCTGCATGGTAACTTCACTGCTGGTACCAGTGGGGTCAGCAAAACCAGAGTTTGCTGGGGTTTCCAGCAAACAGTGCCTTGTGGGAACAACAGGGGGGTTCTGATGCTTTTTTTAAAAAGATTTTTATTGGAAAAGAAAAAAAAAATCCAAAAGGAGAGGTCCCACCCAGCACTGGTGTTAGCATGGCAAAAGCAGAGGGGCTGCAGCCTCAGCATGGACACACGGTTAGAAGTGAGAGAGAGGAGGTGCAGTTGCTTCTCAGGGTGATGATTGTGTTTTCCTCAACTGCTGCAGGTAAGTCATGCCCCAGCCATAGGGATGCTGGAATAAACCACCTGAGGTGACAGCAGTCCTTGAGTGAGAAGCTTCAGTGATGGTGTTACTTGCACCCAGCCCTTCCCTCTGGCATTGCTACCTGGTGGAGGAGTGAGGAGGCTCCTTGCAAAAGGATGTGCTAAAGGCAACTCATTTGTGCTGGAAGGTGGAAAAATGTGTGTTCCATCCCAGCTCTCTGAGCACATCCCAGTGAACCCCAACACCAGCTGAGAGGAGGTGAGCAGGATGCACTGGCAGTGCCCATGGGACAGCAAGAAAGGAGGCAGCCTGTCCTGCAGGGTGGGTGGGTTTGCTCTCTACAACACTAATGATTACAACAAGGCATCTCAGTGAAAGAGGAGGTCATGGAAAGGAGTAAGAAGAGGAGGAGGAAGACTGTAGTGTGGGCCAGCTGCAGCTGGACATCCAGTCCTGTAGGCACCATGTTGAGGGGCCGATGAGGACGCTGGTTTCTTGCTCTAGTCCTTCCCCTTGCCCTTCTTTGCTGCATTCAAGAAGCACAGGAGACAGGAGTTAGTGCATCTGCTGGCAGCTCACAGCTGCCCTGACACTGCTGTGGCAGAAACAGTCAGCATGACTGGGTGAGCACAGCACAGTGGCTGCATCCCTTAAGGCAGCCTCTCTCCATGCCAAACCAAGTTTTGCACGAGTCCTAGTGAGGAGAGCAGGGAATCCCCATCCCACCAAAGATGGCAGTGGTTTGTGGGGGGAACAGGGTTTTTCCTGCATCCCACCCAACCAGCAGCTGGACTTCACAGTGCAAAGGAAAGAGGATCCTACAAAATCCCCCACACCACCAGCAAAGCCGACCCTGAGAAACCCCTGCTCAGGGTTGCAACAGAACCCTTCTGGGGATAGGAGTGGTGGGAACTGACCTTTGGACTTCGACTTGATCTTGGAGGAGCAGGGCTTGGTCACATAGACAGTCTCCTCACACTGGGCATTGTACAGGGCTTTCTTCAGGATGCCAGAGCGAGTCTTCAGGCCTGTCTGAGCACTACAGCCTCCCCAGCTCTCAAACTTGTACTTGCAGTCAGCTGGATGAGAGGGGAGAGGCATCAGAACTAGCCAGGACCTGGCAGGACATTAGCCCCAGTCACCCAGCACAGGGCAGTCCCCAACCACCCCACCGCCATGTGCCCACCTCCAAATTTCTTCTTCCAGTTGCAGGGGATCTTGCACTTGAGCTTCTTACTCTCATCTTTGCAAATTCCCTCGCGGTAGCCCAGGCCACAGTCCTTACTGTTGGGAACACAGGGTCCCCAGCGCCAGTCCTCACACTTGGAGCCATCCTTCTTTGCCTTTTCTGTGTGAAAAAGTGGAGTGGGTGCTCTCTGCAGGGACAGGGGAGCATGCCCCACTCTGCCCCCCGCCCCACCAGCCCCTGCCCCAGGCTGCCCCTTACCTTTCTTGTTCTTGCCAGCCTCGGCAGCAGCCGCCACCAGGATCAGCGCCAGGAGGAGGAGGAGGCTCCGAACCTGCATCCTGCCTGTGGAGGAAGGAGAGAGTCAGGTGGGTTGGAGGTTGGGGTGCAATGTGGTGTTGAGGAGGGGCATGGTGGGCTGTGGGCAGCCTGTGTGGGAGTAAGACAGCAGCTGCCTCCATTGCACACACTCACCTACGTGTGTGTGCACCCTGTGCCCTGCTTGTTGCCACCCAGCAGAATATATTCACTAATTACAACAGGAAGGTTCATTGTGTATCTCAACAACTGCCTCCCACCAGAGAGCTGCAGGGTTGGGATTGTTCCCACCCCTGCAGCCCCCCCGCCACTGCTCTGCATGTGCTCAAAATGCTCTCCATGGGGAACCCCACAGCCCACAGCATCTGGGGAAGGTGCTACAGTTGGGTGCCAGTTGACAGCCCTTACTCCCCATATTTCTCTGTGGATCCTTTACCCATGGGCTGCTGTCCTACACCAAAGAGCCTTGGGCCAGGGAGCACAGCTCCCACAGTATCTTACTCCAGTTCCAGAGGATGCCAGGGAGAAGGAAAAAAGCCCAGAAAAACAAACCTGCTTCCATGAGAGGTCTGAAAGTTAAATCAGTGGATTAAATACAAAAAAAAAGCATTCACAGTGTGGGAGCTCATTGGATGGATGGAGCAGGGGTGCTGAGCCCACTGCCCATGCTACCCATGCATGCAGGGGGTGTGCAGGTGAGCACACACCGGAGCAGGTTGGGGACAAGGGTGCACACACATAAGGACTTGGCTCTGGGGATTGTGTGCTGTCCCCCTGCCCTGGTGGCCTTGTGATGTGATGGCTCTCCTCTGGCTGTCACCACAAGACTCTGTGGGATGTTGCTGCCAACACTGCGGTCCCAGATCCTGCACCCAGTAGGAACAGGAGCGCAGGCATGCAGAGGCAGCGTTTCAAATCTGGAGACCCCTACCCTGCTGCCCCAAAGCCTTTTAAGATGCTACGCATATCTGTGTGGCAGCAGCCATCCAGAAAATACATGGCACCTGCCCTGGCTCTGTGATGGGCTTGGCAGAACTTTGCAGAGAACAGGACAGTCCCCAGGGGACATCAACGCAGGGAAGAGCCCAGGGTCATCGTTTGCTCCCTCCCCTGGGCTCCCCGGGCAGCATGCCAGAGAGAGCAGCATCCCACATTATTCAGGCTCCAGTGCACTCACCTTTCATGCATCCGCCGCCAAGCTGCCAGCTTTGCTCTGCATTGAACTGTCACAGGGAATTACACAGACCAGCTGGCTGAGGGCACAGTCATGGGGTGAGATCTGCCTCCCCCCTCACCCAGCCCGGCTGGGAGCCGTCCTGCCGAGCACAGTGCAGCTCAGCTCTGCTCCCATCCATCTGCCTTCAAAGGGGACAAGGGCTCAGCCCAGATGGGCTGGTTACAGATGACAAGGCTGGAGCTGAGCTGACTTACAGAAGACATGGCTGTCCCACTCTCTGCAGCAGCTCTTATGGGGTAGCACCTCTGACATCCACGTTATTCACAGCATCTCCCTAGTTTTAGGTGTTCTGTAAACTCCCATCCTTTGCTGCAGAGCATTTCCCTGTACTCTTTGCACTTACCTCCCAGCCCAGCACCTTCTGCTCAGGCCTTTCTGACACGGTCTTCAAGCCCCCAGGGCAGACAATCCCAGCTGCTGTGCTCACCCCTGCCCCACCTCCAGGCACAGACTCCCTCTTTTGCCATGGGTGCAGTGGGGCCCTGCC